CTTCAGCACGTATTAGATTTAAAAGCAAGATATCCGGATGCAAAACTAGTTGTGGGTAATACAGAGGTGGGAATTGAAATGAGGCTCAAAAGTTACCATTATCCAGTTTTGATCTCTGTTGCACATGTTCCAGAACTGAATCAGTTGATTATAAAGGATGAAGGTCTGGAAATAGGTGCTGCTGTTAAACTTTCAGAACTTGTGAAAGTACTAAAAACGGTTTTAGACCAGCATCCTCCTTTTGAAACTTCATCTTGTAGAGCCATCATTCAACAAATAAAATGGTTTGCTGGGACGCAAATAAGAAATGTTGCTTCTGTTGGAGGGAATATCTGTACTGCGAGTCCAATATCGGACTTGAACCCTCTTTGGATGGCTGCTGGAGCGAAGTTTTGCATCTCTGATTGCAAGGGAAATGTACGAACGTGCATGGCTGAACACTTCTTCTTGGGTTACCGTAAAGTGGACATGGCAAGTAATGAAATCCTACTCTCGGTTCTTCTCCCTTGGAACCGACCAAATGAGTTTGTAAAAGATTTTAAGCAAGCTCACAGGAGGGATGATGATATTGCCATTGTGAATGCTGGAATGCGTGTTCAACTTGAAGAGAGGGATCAGAAATGGATGGTTGCTGATGCGTCGATTGTTTTTGGTGGGGTTGCTCCTCTCTCTCTTTCTGCATCTGAAACAAAGAAATTTTTAATAGGTAAATGTTGGAATAAGGAGCTATTGCAGGGTGCTTTGAAAGTACTGGAGACAGACATCCTACTGAAGGAAGATGCACCGGGTGGGATGGTTGAGTTCCGGAAGTCCTTAACACTGAGTTTCTTCTTTAAGTTTTTCTTGTGGGTTTGTCATCAAATGGATGGACAGGCACTGTTTAATGAGTCCATACCAGTTTCCCATCTTTCAGCTATGCAATCTTTTCATCGTCCATCGGTTATAGGAAGTCAGGATTACGAAATTATGAAACATGGGAGTGCTGTGGGCGTTCCTGAAGTTCATCTTTCATCAAGACTTCAGGTGTGCAAGTGTCCAACCCAAAATATGCATTCTATTAACTTTTGCCAAAAATTCAATCTTCTCACAATTTTGTTCATACAATTTGGATTTTTAATGCAAAAATAAATTACGTGTATGTTGTTTTTATATGCATCTTATAAGAAGCATGTGATATGCAAATTGTTTCAAGTGCTTCCTCATTGTGATGTAATTGTTGTTTTTTTTTTGGTCGAAATGATATGCATTTCCATGACTAAAGCATATCCGTCCAATATAAAATGACTGCAATGGTTCTAGACAGATCTTTTTTGGTTCCTGAAGTGCATGTTTGGCCCAGAGAATTAAACAACACTTGACGCTATAATAATAAACTAGATTTTAGCTTCTTTTTCTTCATTAATAGTTTCTTGCTTGAATCTTTACTACCAAACACGACAGAAATATTTTGTTTCTGCATCTGCTTCATTGATGTGTTGCATGTGTTTACATTTCTGTCTTTTTGCTGAAGCTGGTTGTTAATATACTATGTGAACATCATCTGGTGAAATTTTTATTGTTTATTTGTTTCCATGCCATGCACATTTTTCTCAGGCAAAGTATGTTTTTCACACTTCCCAGGTTACAGGGGAGGCAGAGTACACCGATGATGTCCCCATGCCTTCTAATGTTTTACATGCTGCTCTGATATTGAGCAAAAAGCCTCATGCGCGTATACTTTCCATAGATGATTCATCAGCCAAGTCTTCACCTGGGTTTGCAGGAATATTTTTTGCCAAGGACATCACAGGTGACAATATGATCGGGCCAGTTGTTGCAGATGAGGAAGTTTTCGCTTCAGAGGTTGTCACTTCTGTTGGTCAGGTAAACCCTGCTGCATGCCATATTTGCTTCTGCAGAAATTCCCTTATTAACTAGTTTAGGATTCAAGTTGAGCTTGTTAAGTACATCACACTTGTAATCTTGCCCACCCTAGACCATGTTATTACTCCAGTGGATAATCTAGTTCGCTGATATTGCACCGGACAGAGTCCAAAACTTTCCCCAGACAGTTGCAAGGTATTTTGGTTGTATTTTGAGAATTCAGAGAATAGCTGAGTTTCGAAAATTGAGTGTAAAGGGTACTCAATAAAAACAAAATCTCATTTAAGAAAGTTTTAGCCATTCAAATAAGTAAATAATGGGCCACCATATAATTAGCTCCCATGCGCAGGTAGCTCGAAGGAATGGGCTACAGATTAGATACTTCTAAATTATTATGGGCTGCTGAAGTGCAACTTTCCTGCCATTCTTTTTCATCTACAACACCAGATATCATATATTGAAATTCTTAGACGAACCTGTTATACCAACGCGATTACTATGCTGGATACCATCAATTTCACTTTCTGGAATGTTCTCGCCTGAATCAACTTCTTAATAAAGTCTGGCTCCTTATAAGACAACCTTTTTGGGGGTGTAAATGAACTGATGAACATGCATGCGTGTGTAATTGTAGTCAGTGTGCTTACTTACATGTATCAAACTCATAGTATTGTGTTATTATTGTCTTGAAGGTTATTGGAGTAGTGGTTGCTGATACACATGAAAATGCTAAATGTGCTGCTAGAAAAGTTCAAGTTGAGTATGAAGAGTTACCTGCAATCTTATCCATAGAAGAAGCCTTGCAATCTAGTATTTTTCATCCTCAGACTGAAAGGTGTTTGAGAAAAGGCAATGTGGAACTCTGCTTCCAATCTGGGCAGTGTGATAAAATCATAGAGGGAAAGGTTCAGGTAGGAGGTCAAGAACATTTCTACTTGGAGCCACATAGTACATTAATATGGACGCTAGATGGGGGCAATGAGGTGCATATGATCTCATCTACCCAAGTAAGTTCTCTAGCTTGAGCTTTAAGACTTGCTACTTCAGTTTAGCGATGGGAATGTGGCGGGTTCAGGGCCATTCCCTGTCCTGCCCCCATTGGGGATTTATTGCGTGGTACCTTGCTTAAGATGGGTCGGGGCACTCATTTTTCCCATTTACTGCCCGTTTAATATTATATATATATATTTTTATTTTTATTTTTATTTTTTTTGTTTTTTGTTTTTTTTTTTTTTGGCCTTTGTAATTTAATTATTCTTTTTAAATAATATTAAATGAGGCGGGGAGACCAAGACCCGTCTCATCCATTCCCGTCGAATTCCAGCCTCGTCAGGGTCAGGGCCTGTGTCGTGGTCAACAGGCTTTTTTTTGCTGTCCCTGCTTCAGTTTATGATTTTTATAAGAGCATTAAAGGAATGCTTGAAAGACCTTAATATATTAGTACTGCAAAAATAATGAGTTCATGACTTCTTTTGCCAGGCCCCTCAGAAGCACCAGAAGTATGTAGCTCATGTACTTGGTCTTCCAATGTCTAAAGTGGTTTGCAAGACCAAAAGAATTGGTGGTGGGTTTGGAGGAAAAGAGACAAGATCAGCTTCTGTTGCTGCTGTTGCTGCCATTCCATCATATCTTCTGAATCGTCCTGTCAAAATTACACTGGATAGGGATATAGACATGATGACCACTGGGCAACGCCATAGCTTTCTTGGAAAGTACAAGGTGTTTCTCTTTCTGTGTTTTCCTTTCTGATATTGAGTAGAAGGTTTTTTCTTTTTTCTTGATACTGTCTACAATGTATTTTTTTATTCCTTAAATTTTAATTTTCTGATACTGACACAAAATTCTTACTATATGGAATTAACTGGCCACCCATTAAATGATATGGATTGCCTGTTGTGGAGGTCCCTTGGGAATTGCTTTTTGTTCTTACTCTCATGTGCGTAAAGTTGATGGAAGGAGGGTGTAATGGGGCACTATTTGCTAGAATCGTCTCAACCCCCATAATCTACCCCTTCCCAATGGCCCAAGGATTGATTTTACACTAGACCACACTCTTCTTTTATGATTTCTTTTTTCGTATTTTATTTGGTGTCTTCAGAATATCCTGGAACATGAAATTAATGATTGAACAATTTTTATAGGTTGGCTTTACAAATGATGGAAAAGTACTTGCATTGGATCTTGAAATCTACAATAATGCTGGAAATTCGCTTGATCTCTCTCTTGCCATACTTGAACGTGCTATGTTCCACTCGGACAATGTCTATGAAATTCCAAATGTTAGAATTAATGGAAAGGTCTGCTTTACTAACTTTCCCAGTAACACTGCTTTTCGAGGATTTGGTGGCCCTCAAGGTATGCTTATTACTGAAAATTGGATTCAAAGAATTGCCATGGAAGTGAAGAAAAATCCAGAAGAAATAAGGGTACGTCATCGTCTCTCAATAATTTTTTCTTGGATTATAATTTCTAATGTCTTATATATGGTAGTCATCTTAGTCCTCCGTTACTACTCAATTTTTCTCACAGTCTATCTGCCTTTTTAGGAGATCAATTTTCAAAGTGAAGGATCAGTCTTGCATTATGGTCAACAACTTGAACACTTCACCTTGAAACGTCTTTGGAATGAGCTGATGGCATCCTGTGAATTTTTGAAAACTCGCAAAGAAGTTGAACATTTCAATCTTCACAACCGGTGGAAGAAGCGGGGAATTGCCGCTGTTCCTACAAAATTTGGCATTTCTTTTACGACAAAGTTCATGAATCAGGTAATTTTGAGTTCATAGCAAATACAGGCTAGCTTTTAATTAATTTGTTTAATGAGGGCCGAGATTGCGGATCCTGGAAGAATAAATAGAAGACTTGATCTCAGGGAGTTGTAAACTCTTGTGCGGGATTCCTTTGTTAACAGAAATGGAGAAGTTAATTTTTGTTTTTACTCCTAATGAAGTTTTTGGTGTTTCCATTTTCTTTGAGATAATGTGAACCATGTAAATATGACTTATCAATGCAAATTATCTATCCACTATTGGGTTCCAGGCGGGTGCTCTTGTTCAAGTCTACACAGATGGAACTGTATTAGTCACACACGGGGGAGTTGAGATGGGCCAGGGTTTGCATACAAAAGTTGCTCAGGTTGCTGCTTCTGCATTTGACATTCCTCTTAACTCTGTATACATATCAGAAACGAGCACTGACAAGGTATTAGAAGAGTTGTTCTTTATTAATTTTCACGCTGGACTTATAGTGCTCGTTTCTTTGCAGTATTGTACTTGAGTGACAGTATAATGAACAAGATTGTAGCTTCGTTTTCTTTCTTAGTATTGTCCAATACTAGCCAATTTTCCCAACCAAACAC